TAATAATGTCCAATGGGGACTATACAATGTATTAGACTTTAGTATCAATGATGTAATTTTTAATAAAAAATTTTTTTCGCGTTACCGTTATTTTTCGGAAAATTAGAGGGGTACAGTTACTTATGACCAGTATAGTATAACAGATGCGATCAAAATAAATATAGTTATAGCTATACATGTGGCGTAAATTATTTTGCTGTTGACTCAATTCCTAAAATCCTCAAAAATAATTGTGTCATAACTTAATTATTTATATGTTTTAATAGTAACTCAATTAATTGTGTCAAATAATTGTATCAATTGCGTCAAGGATTTACAAATTTCAGCAACATGTATAGTTATAACATATCTGATTCAAAAAGTATTCAAGGAAAAAAGCAAGAGATTAAACTTTGCAATTGAATTAATATCAGAAAAACAGATCATGAAACTTCACAATTAAATAAGTAACAAAATAACTTAATCCAAAGCCTGACAACTGTTATACAAGATGCTGGTTCCAAAAATTAGAATCGAACAGAATTGCAGGGAATCACATAAGATTTGGAATACTATTAAAAATGATGGTGGAGTATACCCAACCTATTAAATTTAATATAAACTTGATAATTGAATATAGAATTAAAGAGAATCATTAGAATCCTTATGCAAGACTGCATCTTACTTTCTTAAACACTTCTGAAAGCTAACTTGAAAGCACAGATGCAACATTACAGTGACGATTGACCAGATTATAGGTTTGAATCTAAGAATTAAGAAAAACACAAAATAATCAGAATTTGAAGATATGCCAAATACAATATTTGTATTCTCATTATTAGCAGAACCTAAACTAGATCAGGATTTCAGTCCTGAAAACTCTATTTTCAGATTTACAGATATCAGCAGCCCCATTAGGATTCAATCCTTAAATATTCAAAACAATAAGAGGAAAAAAAGGAAGGAAAAACTAATATACAAGACAAAGGATTATATAGTTAAGATATATAAGATCAAAGAGTTAATACAGAAGTTTATAGAAAATAAGTTAAAATGGCTTACATTAAAATAAAACTCAATCTGGATTTATAGTATATGATTTGTAAAAATGATTTGCAGGCATTGACTTCATTAAACAAATGGAATCTTAATTCTAATTAATGGATGAGTAATATATCATCCCTATAAATCACATCTAAAGACTTTATATCATAAATGAGTGAGCTGGGTCAAGAAAATTTATATATACAATTTTTATTTGTAATGGTTTATTTTGATTTAATAAATAAATGACATCAACTTGATTGAGAATAAAAAAAAAAATAATAAATAAATTGTAGGCAATAACTTTAACATGTATTTTGAAATAAGTATATAAAAATAAGCAATTTTATTTATTTTCAAAATTATATCAAGAGATAATTTCATTAAAGATAAACATTCAAATATTATATCTAAAAGTTTATATATAAAAGTAATCAAGCTATTATGTATTTTGCATCAAGATTAAATAAACTTTATAAATACTTGTTTGATTGCAGAAAGAAAAAAAAAATTATTATTATTAAATAATTTTTGATCATCTAAAATATTATTTTCATTAGATAAGAAATTTTAATATTTAATTTTAAAAAAGTTACAAATATTATTATTTCAATCAAGAAATAATTATAAAAAATAGGGAAATTAAATTCCAATAGAAATATTTATAAATCAAGTCCATATGTTCTAAAGCAATATTTCTATCAGTTTTTTTAACTTGTATAATAATTACGAAATTATTATCATGAGTATGTATACCTCGAATTAGATTTAACAAGTTAAACAATAATAAAATAACAGTATACGTTTAAGGATTTTTTGTAAAATACTGGAATTCTTTATTTTTAAATATTTAAAGAAAAGAAAATAAGCTTACATTTCCGTAACGATAAATAGATCTTAATGGAGAAATTATAATAAATGAATTAATAAAGGTGATTTGAATAATCATAATGAAGCATCTTAACGAAAAATCGACAAACGTGTTTGATTATTTGAATTGGAGGGGTTAGTTATGTAATTGTGAGAAAGATCAAGTTCTCGAACCTTGCTAAATCTTGTCTTTCACGTTCAAATAAAATTGAATGAACGCAAAGACTCGCGATATTCTTTTTTATTTAAGAAAAAGAACCGACCTTGTATATCGGTAAAATAATAATAAAAAAAAAAAAGCTCAAAAAAATAAATTCATTTCCTCTAAATGATTATCACTATCATTTAGTCACCGTTTTCCTTTATACATGTTTATATTCTTCCAAACACATCAATTGTTCATTAACTTGTCGCCCATCAATCAATCAATCTACGAAATCCTGTTTCGACCTAGCTTTTCAAAACAACTGCAGGCAAACATAATTCTTCAAAGTTGGGAAATGAAGAACCATTTTGCGAAAATAACATGATAAATTATTATGTACAGGAGAAGCAGGTGGACATGGAGAGAATGGAGTAGGAATTAAAGGTTACTTTTAAAGGAAGATGTATAAAAAAAGTATATACAGAAAGTTTTTGCTGCTCGTTGCAAATAAAAAGAAGTACCAATTTTCGGTGTCAACATCAGTGCTGATGAGAATAGAGGTTGGCGTATTATTGTTGTATATGCGAGGGTAATAGGTAAAGAAAAAATGGAATAATTAAATTGAAATATGTTGCACAAATGCAGATATTTTCCAAGTAGCAAGAATCTATAAACAATTTTACAGTATTATAAAGAAATGGTATGTTAAAAAGAAAGGTTGAAAAGAAAAGCTTTGGTCGATTTACAGTATATAAGTGTATTGAAGTCTATGCAAAGAGATTTTTCGAAAAGTAAAGAAAAAATGGTTAGAGGATGAGATAAATAGTTCGTGGGCTTCGGACGAAAAAAAAGATAAGGAAAATTGCAGATCATTACATCAACTCGTGAAATAAAATAATACAAAGAAAAGTAAATACAGTATAATTTGATCTTCAAATAATATTGTTCCCGTTGTTAGGGTATCGACCACTAGGGGTCCTACTACATCTCACATCCCAACTCTTTGGCGAACCAATCCAAAAAGACGACGTAGTAAAAGCCTTTCCATTTTTTCAAGAACTTCTTGTTTAAAAAGTTGGCACTCAACTGTCGTTTCCAACTAATAACCTCGACCTTCCATCCTCGTTCCAAAGCCTTGATTACACACTTATGGAATCCTCCTTGGAAATATTCCGCGTCTTTGCCATCGCCGCTAGCGAGGACTAGAGTGGCGGGCGCATGGTAATCGAGTAAGGATTCCAAGATTTTGAGATGGATGAGTTCGTCGACACACTGTTCTTTTTCCATCTCAAATGGGTTTAGTGGTTGATTTTCGCTAATGATATCTAACTGTGGCGAATTACCGTCATCAAGAGCACTCCTTTTCACACGCTTAAGAACTGAAACCTCATAACCAGCTTTTTCAGCTTTATCGAGTTGTTGGTATAGTGGTGAAGAAGCAACTAAAACTCTGCGTGCAATATTTCTACCACGTTCAAGAATAGTGAAAAGAGCATCATATTCCAACGTTGGCCTGGTCTTCTTTCCCAAAACGGATTGAGGGTTTTGTGTCCGACGTTGAAATTGCTGTTGCCGAAAATGTGCCAAGAAGCCAACAAGGATGTTGGAATTGTCAATGAAAACGTGGATAGGATCTTCTGAAATACTGATGGGAATTGGTATCCTAAATCCGGGGGCTGGCTTTGTATTGTTAGATTTATCAATCGTCTCGTTACTGTCTTTTACCGAAGCCTTTTCTTGTGGCTTATTGTTATTTGATAGGATGATTGGGAGGTGCACATCGTTGATATTCACTTTTTTAATGGCAACAGTATTATCAACCTAAGAAAGGATAGTTTCCATGTTAGCAAAATCATATTCTCCATCGAAAGTAATAAATAGATGCCTGCATTCAAAATCCATTACCTTTTTGATGTTACCAGCTCCTTTAGATTGAAGTTCTTGAGTATTCACTCCTTTCTTGCTCTTCTTGCTCTTTTTTGTTGCCATCTTTTTGTTACTTTTGTCCACAGTTACCACCACATATCCTTCGACTTTCTTTTTGACCGCTTTGAGATCTGCGACCAGAATTTCTTCCTCCGAAGAATACTCGGACGAGGAAGAGTGAGGTAATAACGGCGGTTGTTTGCATTCTGTTGGTTGACCACTTGGGGACAATATACTTTCCATGTCCACAAGATTTGTGGAACTAGTACTACACCATTTCTCCTTTTCCCCTCTTAAAAATCGCCACAACTCTCCGAAATCCCCTAAACTCGACATATCTTGGCTGTCGTTCTCCGAGTGTGCCCAAATAGATACGAAGTCACCCAGACCATTTGAAGACTCTCCAGACGATAAAGCACGTGATGAAGTGGCCTGGGAAACTGGGAACGTTGTGTGCGCCATATATTTTCTACTGTAGAATGTTTGAACTTGACTCTCTTTCTTAAATTCAGAAGCCTCAAAACAGTGGTACCCACACCCACGTTAATTAATAAAAAAATCTTTGTTGAATAAAAAATAAAAAAAACTATGTACTTAAAGTGTAAAAGGAAAAAAAAAAAGAAGATTTCGTTTCAAATACTCCCAGTGAGAGGTATTTATGGTTCTGCACCACTGTATCACGATTGTACACCTTACGCTTACGGATCATGAAAATACAATGCTGAATTCCTATTGTGTATTTATTATACAAAGAACAGAACGGATGACTCCAATAATAATGAAGCTAAACTCGATAATAGTATAACTCGATGAGTGATATCATTTCTTTACCATAGAATGATCTTAGAAATGGTTGGTGGCGCAGAAAATATTAATAGGTCATACTTTTTTTTTATATAAACAGTAATTAAAATCCCTGCGCCATTCGCAGCAAAATATGGATCACATGATGGAATTTATTATTAAGCGAATTCGAAAAAATTGAAAACGAACTTTGCAAGATATCATGGTGCTTCGCAGATCAGCTAGGATTGCGGCCAAGGAAAAGAAGAAGGAAACAAGTCAACAACCTGACTTGTTTACTGACGAAGTTGGCCACGCGAAGAAGAAAGCCCTCCCCGAGGTTTCTTTAAAGGAGGTGAAAGAAGCGCCGTACGTCGAAATTATCACCAGCAAAGAAAGTCCAGAAGTGTTCGTTCAACTCTCTCCTCCCGAAACCTTCAATGACAAGGAAATTCCCGGAAATTCCGTTGAAAAAGACAAATCAAAGAACAGAACAAAGTTTACTCAAAGAACATCAAAAGAAATTGTTCAGCATTCGGACGGAAGCAAGAGCATATTCGAGCCGATCAATTTAGAGTGGCTACAAGGTAAACGCGAGGATAAAGAAGAATCGAAGAATGTTGATAATTATGATGACGCGGATGATAGTGATGATTGGGAAGAAGTTGACTTGTCTCAGTATCAAAGTAAGGATGTTGCGAAGTTTAGCTTAGACCGAAAATAGGTTTTCTAATTAGTAAAATTCTCTACTCCACAGGTTTACAAGATAGTGCAGTCGACGATTCAGATAAAACAATTACAATCACTTTCAAAGCTCCAAAAGTAGAATACAAGTAAGTTCCTTAATAGTATATATAATAAAATCCACTATTTAACATAAATACTTGTCAACAGGCCAAGAGGAATTACCAAAATCGAACGAACAATACGGCATAATATTCACAAAACCCACCTGCTAACATTACTTGCTAATGGGATGATTAGGAACGAATGGTGTAATGACCAATTGACTCAGGTAATTTTTTTGCCTATTTATCAATCTATTTATTCCTGTTCACATTGTGGGCCTAGTTACACGAGTAAATATAGAATTTGTTTTGTTTTAGGCTATGGCTTGTTCATTAATTGAGCGCGACATGTTAGCTCTTTTTGATAAGGCACTTAAACCGAATGATAGTTCTCGTGGTCATTTACTGATCACCGCATTGCAAGAATTATGTGATTGGTGGAAAAAATATTTCATTATTTCCAAACCGGGAATTTGTTCTAGAGAATATCACGAATTTGGTACGAAAGGACTTGTTGAGGTAAATGAGGCTGTAATAATGATCTCTTTGGTAATTTTGTTTAGCACAAATGATAAACACGCGTTTTTATAATTTAGGATGACGAAAAATTTCCTGATTCCCTCAAGTCAATAAAGTCTTTTCGAAAAAGCCTTAAAGTTGGTGAAGGAAGTCGTGACACGTCTGCTCAATTATTCGTTGCGTTACTGAGGTCTTTCGGGATTTCTGCTCGACTTGTATGTTCTTTACAAGCAGTCTCCTTCAGATTTGCGCGCAAGAACAATTCCTGCGGTGTTGGATCAACGGATCAAGATAGGAATAATAAAAGCAAAAAGCAAAGTAGTAGTAGCAAAAGGAAGGAAAGAGATGACGACGACTATAACCCTTTCATAAAGAAGCAAGCTGTTTATTCACGGAAGTCTCGTAACGTGTCAAATAGTGTCCAACCAAAATCGTTTCCTAGACATTGTATGTATTTATTAAATAAAACTTCTAATAAAGAGAAAGTTGAAACGCAACATTCATTTGAGTTCACATTGATTTATGTTACATTTGTCCTTCCGTATAATGAACATAAGATGTACACGACCCCAATTCTCCACCAATTTTCTGGTGCGAAGTATATTTTGCAGTTCACCAAAAATGGTTGTGTGTTGATCCAATTCGGGCGTTCGTGAATAGACCGAAAGCGATGGAGCCTTCTTCCACAGATAAGAATAATGTTATGGCATATGTAGTGGCATTCGAACAAGGTAATTATTTTTCATTTGTGCGAACGTATCAATTAATTGCGAAGCGCTAATTTTCTTGGAATTCATGAGTAGATGGCTATATTAAAGATGTCACTCGTAGATATACAGCGCAATGGGGTGCAAAAACTCGTAAATTGCGAATACCCAGTACCAAAGACGGTTACAATTGGTGGGACGAGACGTTAGCATATTTTTCGCGTCCGTATGAGAGGGTAATTTACATCAATAATCCTTTAACCACTCGTAACTATTGGAAGTGTTTAATATTCGCGATAGTAATTCACATTCGTAATTTTTTTATGCAGGAGCAAGATCTATTTGAAGACGCGAATTTACTATCCATGGAAACCTCTGAACGTATGCCCACCACTATTAGCGCTTTTCATAACCATCCTTTGTACGTAAATGCTGTCATACCATTTCGTGATCCCAATATTAATCGCCTAACCTCTTTCTTCAATTAAGGTATGCCCTTGAACGCCACCTAAAAAAATTTGAAATAATTATTCCTAAGCAACCAATACTTGGACGTATTCGAGGAGAACCGATATATCCGCGTAGGAATGTCAAACAGGTAGTTAAATGGTTTTTATTTAATCATGATTAATCCTTCATCCAATATATATACATATATGCGCACGATACATGTTTTTTTTTTTAGTTACATACCGCGGAAACTTGGTTGAGAGAAGGTCGACAAGTGATGGTATTCGGTCTCAACTATTTGTTAAACAATTTTTCTTCAACCTTAATTTAATATCTGCGGATCAATGAAATTAAGGAGGGTCAGCAACCAATTAAACACGTAAAATCACGCATATATACTATGGCAAAACGAAGGGCCGCAAACATGGCTGAATTGTTTAACGAGGAACCGCCTGAGTCTGGCCTTTATGGAGAATGGCAAACCGAACTTTATAAACCGGACCCTGTTGTAAACGTAAGGGCGCTTTAGTCTCATATTTTACTTTAATTTTTTTTAAAAAAAAATACCTAGCTAGCTCTGTTAACAGGGAAAGGTGCCAAAAAATCATTATGGAAACGTAAATTTATTCAAACCTTCGATGTGTCCACCGGGTGGTGTTCACCTTCCATGTAAGCACTTTTTTGGTTTTCATGATTGATTCTTTTGTTTTTAATACCTTTTCGCTTCTTAGATAACGGGATAGGAAGGATTGCGAAAAAGTTTGGCATTGATTACGGTGAAGCAGTGGTACGTGACATAATATAATCATCTCGCTCAGAACTCAAATATTTACTGCATTAAATTTATTTAACTTGGTATACTTCTTATCTTTTTAGGTTGGATTCGATTTTCAATCTCAACGATGTGTTCCAGTGGCGAAAGGCGTTGTTGTTCCAGAAGAGCATGCTGAAATGTTGTTGGAGGTAATTTAGTAACCATTTTCTGAATCGGAATGTTTGTATTTAATAATCTTATATAAAATTACTCGGATATAAAGGCATGGCAAGAACATTGTAGAAACGTCGAAGCAACGAATGAAGCAAAAAGGTTAAAAGAAATATATGATAGCTGGAGAAAACTTATATTAGGCGTACAAATTCGACAGAGATTAAAAGACGATTACGGAGAAAAATTTGAAGAAATCATTCCTTTGGAAGATGAAGAAGAGGAGGAGAACGAATTTTACCATGGAGGAGACACAGATGAAGAAAGGATGGATGAAAATGATCCCGATGCTAAATACTGTGGTGAAGACAAAGTTATTGTAGAGACTGAAGATGATTATATCGGCTCGAAAGGTGATAAAAAAGCTTGTGAAGAGTTGTCTGTCAACTTCGAAGCAGAAGTAGATCCTATTGAGGATGCGCACCTTAAAGAAGATACTAAAGATCGTGGTAAAGGAAACGATATTGATATGATCGACACTTCAAGTTTTGTTGAAGAATCTAGTGATGAGAATTCTTATGTTCGCAACAATACTTCTGACGATATTCCTGACGACGGGATTTCAACTGAAGATGAAGACATGGCCGATAATCATGTGTTCTAGTTGGTTCGAAAGAAGGATTTCTTTTAGCTTAGCAAATTGCATGATACCAATTCATTGATTCATTTGTGACTCATACGTTTTTGCAAGATGATTCATTTTCAATCCAATAAAGCAATGCATCATTTCATTTCATTCAAACTTTAATGTGATTATTAAATACTATAAACCATTTATTTTAACAACTATATTGTATTAAATATTTAATACAAATTGTTATAATAAATTATGAGCATTTAAATAAAAAATAAAAATAATTATTAATTCAAATTTTATATTTAAAATTTTTCAACAACTTTAAATTTTAATCTCAAACTTCAATATGTATTTACAGTAATATTTATAATCTTTTTTTAAACCCTTAATTTTATGAATAAAATAAAATAAAATAATTAATTAAATCATTAATTAATTTCAATATATTAGTAATTTATTTTACTAAATATTGATAAAATAAATAATACCTGTATAACCAATTTATCATATTTCTATAGGAAATAATAAAATTTTAATAAATAAATTATCTAAAAGATGATTTGAATAAGCTAAAATAATTAATTGATGATAAAGAATCATCAAGGGATTTTTTAATTAAACCGATAAATATTAATTTAATAATAATTCATTCTTCAATAAACTTTTTTATTCTTGGTTATAAGAAAATCATCTTTTATTATATATAGGTACATGTATAAAATAATAATTACAACTATCAAGTTTCTTATTTTAGAATTAGCATGCTAATTTTATATATTACAAAAATTTTGTTTAATCAGCAAATTCGGTCTAGCCTGCTCGGAAAACCTTTAATCGTAATTTGATTTTAAATTTGACTGATTGATTATATTTATATTAACCATAACGAATGGTAGCTATGATGTACAATGAATCAAAAGACTCTGTTAACAAACGAAAATTATTTTAAAAATCAAAATTTGAAAAAAATGTGACTTGAATGGTATTAAGAAGTGTATAGGATTGCTGGATAATATAATTAGTTTATATAAGTTCTATAAATCATGATTATATTATAAGCTATAAATTATACAGGAGATGAAAGGATGTCATCAAAGAAAAATAATTACTTTTCAAAACCTCGAGAGATTTTAACCAAAAGTGTGGTTTTCTTGTCTCTCCTCCATTCTTTTGCCTTCCCCATGGATTTTAATAATGGAAACCTCTAAACAGGAAAATATATCATCAGAAGTAAAATTTTTTTATGATTCTAAGGATTTTAAGATGTCTATAATCTCCAAAAACGACTCTCCAATGGTCCGTCCATGTGATTGTGATGTCGTATGATTTATTTGTCCTTGATCAGCGACCAAGGGTGATGGACCATTCGCGGACGCATCTTCGCCAATTATTAATTCATTAAAATGAACAAATAGTTGGATAAGGTTAATTAATGAGCTAACTGATCGATTGGGTAAACGCTGTAAAAGTTAGGAATATATTTAGAATTAAGGGATTATTATAATTTCAAGGTTAAACTGCCGAACGACAAACATGCGAGAAAAGAAAAGGATATCAATTATCGACGATTGGTTTGCCCGGTTGTTTTTGATTAATAAACCAAGCAATACAGCAATATATGCCGCCAACATGTTATCAGTCTAAAAGAAACGAATACCATGAGCCCACAAATTAAGTTTTAAAGAAGTAAAAATGACAAATACCTCGTCGTTTCCTTTCTCGAGCTGGTAGTTATACAAGGAAACAAGGCATGAAACAGCGGATTCTCTTGAAGAACAAGTGCATTTTCTAAGACACTTATATGAACCCAAGCAATGAGGATTTTGCTCTATATGTAATTGCAAACTCAATGGTCAATATCATTTTTACAAAGAAAAACGAACGTAAATGAATAGACTTACCAACTTTACAAAATTCATCATGATTATTTGGATCCATTTCGGCTAAATTGATAAGCAACACAATGACATGCGAAAGAACATCAAATTTCACTGCCTCAATAGCCTTTAGTCGATGCAACTCGTCTTCTCTCATTACATCGGAATCAACATTAACTGTCGTATGCTTCTCAGGAGGGAGCTGTCCAATGGTAGCCAGACGCATGAGAATTGACATCCCCGAATGGCATCCGACATATTGACAACACTGTTGATTGTCATTGGTTAAATTGATCAGCACTCGTAAACTACCGAGCAGACACTCCATCGCTGTATAAACAAAAGCCAATATGTATAAATATGCGAATATTTAGAACATAGAGAATCATGTATACATTAAAGTACCTGATGAAGCGTTGACCGAATAGCTGTTGCATGATTCAATTTGACAATACAAGAGAAACTCTAACAATAACTGCAAAATTTCATTTCCCTTTTCAACAGCGTATAGTTGATTTTCGGTACAGAATAGTACAGCATACTCCAAGATTTTGAGACATTGCTCTACACGTTCAAAATCTAAGACCGGGATCGATATTCCAGTAGACTAAAGTGTTTTGCACATCAGATAAAATCGAATCTCGCTAAGCAACATGAGAATACAAATTCGTTTATAAATTCTTACCTTACCATTCTCGAGTGCTGACAGTGCCCCAGGAACTGATTCAAGCTCGTTTTTTAGGAAATTCATCACAGAATCCAAGCTCCCTGATGATTTTAGATTATTCTTAATAAAGTTTTCGTACCGAGTTCTCAAAGATGTTAATGATGACAGAGTCCTGAGTGCTATCGATTTAAGCGAAATCTAAATTGAATAACGCAAAATTAATAAATCAATTAATTATCACATAATATTTAGTAATTTTTGGTTAATTCAAAATAATGATAATTACTTTGGATTTTGTGTCAAATATTGTAGAACGGTATATAATTTCTTTCATTTCATTGATCTACAAATCGAGAGGTCACATAAAAAAAAAAGAAACTTCAACGCCGAAACCCAGATTGAGTTGAAGTATAAAATAGAAAGCCTACCAACAATCGTTCTGATCTTTTTAATGAATCATTATCGTCACTAAAAGGGTCCAAGGGAGAATTCAGGCAATATACAATTATCTCCATGAATCCGGATTCCTTGATCAATAACTCTGAACTGTGCCTATCTTCTATCAATAAACATATTATAAATGCAAAACAATATCTTATAAACTTATAATAAAAAAAACAATTAATTAGAAAAAGATAATAAAATCAAAAAATCAAAAAATATTCAGACTTGTTGCATACCGAATCCTGATGGATGGACAATCTTTTATATATTCTAGAAATGTAATTATGTGCGCGAACTTTGAGCAAAAATTCCCCATTCAGTAGCTTGCGTGCCAGATCAATTCCACTATTAAATTTCAGATCAAAATACTTGAGAAAAAAACAAAATTAATAGGAATAATCAAAAAATTCTATCGTAACTTGCCTTGATCTGCGAACGCCTAAGGGTTGACTCTCCCGGAGACCATCTAGAATATAATCTATTTCATCGGTAAACCTGTTAAGGCTGCCAACCTCGCGAAGTTCATGCAAACTTCTTAATTTACTCTTTTCAATCACCTTGATTAAACATTAGGTTAATTATACATGATAAACTTGGCACCTTTAAAAGCCAAGAAAATAAACATAAATTTATATACCATGTCATCTTGGTCTTCATCAAACTGTAGTCTGAAAGTGGTGTCATATGTATTTGATAGAAATGAATCTAGATCTTGCCCTAGAATGGTGCGACCTTGTCCATAAGTTTTTTGAACACCGGGACTCCCGTTAGCCAAATTATACGACGATAATGGTGGGGAACTTGAATAATCAAAGGAGCTGGAGGAAGTACTGGCCAATAAATCTTCTTCATATGAAGAGAGACAGCTGTCCTCTTTGCGATCTTGGCTGGATGAAGGACTAAAATCCAGTTTTGTTTTTAAATCACCCAATGGTAGAGATCGAGAAAAAAATGAATTTCTTTCAGATTTTGACGGAGTTGAGGGCTTGGACATTCTTGCCACCAAGTTTTGCTTTCGGGGACTATATGACATGTCTATTGGAGAAGCTACTGCATCAACGGCATCCCAGACGGAATCACCTTGTTTCTTTTGGTGAAAAGAGAGGAATGATATCGGTGTTCCAACTTCGGAAACAGATCGACTTGAATTTGGAGTTCCTGGCGTTGAACTCTTCGGTGACATCCCTTGAGGAGTTTCATCTGTGTATTTAATATCCTCTGACTTTTTAACAGGTGTTTTTATCTGATCAAAATGACCATGCTTGGATGATTGAAAGACTTTTTTGCGGGTCTTGAGATAAGAAACATCAGCATTTGAAATATTATTCGTAAGGTTACTGACAATCCCAATAATTGGTTCGTGACTTCCCGATTTTTGTCCTTTCTGCTCCTTTACATATTTAGCAAGGTCAAAAACATCATCAGAATCTACAGACATCTCCTTATCGGAAGAATCGACCGGATGTGTCTCATCATTTACAATTGACTTTGAAGTTTTTCTAGTTAGAAATCGGGAAAACTGCATTGATGAAGAAGAGCGATTTTCGACAGTTCTGACTTTAGTTGTTAAATTTTGTCCATTAAGATGAATGGATGAAGTTTTACTTTTCGTGGTCGTCTTGGGTGAACCTGATGGTGTGAAGGAACGACTTGATTTTTTTCTCAGTGTTCTTTCTTGTGACTTAAGAATATCATCATAATCGGAAACATTAAATGATTCCGACGATTTAGGGCGATCACTTTGTTTAACTTTCTTGTCATTAGATCCGCGAAGAAAGGTATCTGCATCCTCGGAAAAATCAGATCTATCCATATTATCGGACATTGCCTCATAATTTCTCACAGGTGAAAAATCTTTCTTTTTGTCTTCTGACTTAGTGTTGCCAGATTTATGTGTGACTGGAGGCCCTCGTCTTAATTCAAGATTGAACGTTTCCGAGAGGTGAAAAACTTTTGTCTGTTCACTTTTTTTGTCGGTCGTTTTTCTAAATTCGGGATTATTCTTTTTTTTCTTATGTAATGACTTCACATTGATTCTGTTAAAGATCTCGTCGTCACTCTCCGGAAAATCAAAAACTTCCATATCAAAGGCTTTTACCTCCGGCCCTTGCCTCTCACTTTGACTGTTTTTAAATGACGCCTTGCGCTGAAATTCACTTACAATTTCATCATCTCCCTCCTTTGGAAAATCAAAGACGTCAAAATTATAAAGGGTCTTTTTCTCAATTTTACTCCTCTTTTTTGTCGGTGGAGAGTTATCTTTGTCGCTCACACTAAGCTTTGAGTACGAATCTGTTACTTCATCAGTGAAATTCGAACGTTTACCCAGAGAGGATCCACCAGCTGTTAGGTCTTTCATAGATTGTCTTGTACGTAATCGATTGGACTGATTATTATTATCCATAGTCGAAGATTTTAATTCGATATCACGCAAACTAATGAGTTCATCATAGGATGACCGAATGGAGTTAGAAGTTCTTGGCTGCCGAATTTTTCTCCCATAAGTCACCGAGATTGTTGGTTTTTGGTGGAGAGACATTACGATGTTTGTCATGGGGACAATTTTAAACCCAAATACGTAACAAAATAAATGCCTACTCTTAAAGTGGATTTCCAAAGTAACACAGATCAATCATATTGACTCAACATACACTATGTGCAACAGTTTCATCTATCATAGTCACGGTAATAGTGTAGAATATGTACGTACATTGACATCTTTAAGTCCGACCCTTGTGATCGAACATGACTGATCAAGGAACAGATGTATGGGAGATTCGAATTGTTGCATACAACTGATTATCTATTGTTTTTTCTTCCCAAAAAAGAGATGTCACGATATCATGAATTTTATGACGAGAAATAGGATACTATCGATTAGTAACGTCCTTTAGTTTGTTGTTTGTTGGTCACCTTTAATTGAAACTTCTCTATTTTAATTCACATCGTATAATAAATCGAATTAGCTTCAAATTTGGCGAGGCAAAATGTTTGCCAGTCAAAAATACAATTCGGCCTCCTTTCCACGAGGCATGTATTCATTTAATTGTTTTATTTGCTTCGTGACAAAAAAATTTTTTATCTAACGATATGAACTATTAGAACCTTTTATAACACTCCTCAAACGTCCGAAAAATGGTCAATTACGCGTAAACTTTCTAAAATTTTTTCTTTTAATCGTAAAAAATCCGAAGAGGAAAGAAAAGAATTATCAATTATTCACAGGGATTCACCATTTGAGAAAAGTTCGAAGAGAAAAGATGAAAAGAAATCGGTTGATTCATCCAATCGAAAACTTCAAAAACATTCATTGAATAATAACCTCGAACTCTCGATTGGTTCTTCGTCGATTTTTGATTTCGAAGCATTTGAAGAAAGTCAAAAGAGAAAAGACGGAAAGATCATGGTTGAGCATCCTGAAGAAAATGATGGAAAATTTATGAAACCTACAGAGGCAAAGAAAAAACAATACGAGGTAATTGGATAGTTAAGAGTTATGTCATTTTATTGAAAGCTGCTGACAATCTCATTTTTTTAATTAGCATAGTTATTCGACGATGAACTTTCGTATTTCTCCACGTAAACTTAGATTGATAGCAAATCAAATTGCCGGAAAGCCTCTTAATGAAGCCATAGAGCAAATGGAATTCTCGCATAAGAGGGCTTCGAAAAAAATAATGAATTCTCTAATCACCGCCAGGGATCATGCATGGAGGTATAAAATGATGGATCCTGAAGAAGTTTTTATTGGTGAGCTCTAATAAAACTTTTAAATTATGATACTTGAGTTAGAGTTTAATTTACTGATGGTTCTACTCTAATTTAGAGCAAGCATTTGTAGGCAAAGGTTTTTATAAGAAGAGACCTAGTTTTAGAGCCCGAGGTAGATTCAGTATGTTGAAGATCAAGAAAGCGCATATGAAATATATTCTTAAAGTGAAAAGGTCGGAAGGGAACAAAGGAATAACTACGAAACGTCAAGTGAAAGCAGACAGATATAAACCAAAGAAAAATCCTTGGGTTCCGCTAGTCGAAAATAAGCCGATTTATAATCCATCAAGATTTTACAATTGGTAAATCAAATGGTTACATTTTCAGATTAAACTTGCCACCTGTCACTAGTAAATATAGAATAATCTTTCGTTGATAAATGATAAACGTTAGAATGAAAAATTATGATTACAGAGTATTTGATAATCGACATACCGACACTTGTGTTAATTAGTCCGATAGCAAACCAAATGTCATGTAAAAGTTACCATTACTATTTGATTAAAAGAACCTGAGGGTCGAATGTTATAGGTTACAGCATCAGTTTACTCTGACCCAGAGGTCTGAGTAATATGTTGTCAATTTCTAGATTTTTGGTTTTTTTAATGTTGCAAGTGAAAGTTTGTATATATAAAAAACTTGTGATTCATATATTAAAAATTTATTAATAAATAAAAAAATTTTTTATTTGATTTATATATAATAAATATAATTATTTTTATTTTTATTTTTTATTTTTTATTTTCTTCATAATCAAACAAGTATTTATTGTGTTTATTTAATTATTAAAATTAAAAACATGATGATACAATATTTTTATGTATAAATTAAGCTAATACTTGAATACCTGTTATTAATTTACAATCTTTAAATATAATTTTGAAGATAAATAAAGTCACTTTTTCATTTCTTCCATTTCTTGAAGAATTTGTTAATTAATTAATTTTTTTTTTATTAATGATATTTTTTTTTATAGTTTAAAAAATATACAATATTTATTAAATATAATATATACTGTATTTATTTATATTTATTTATTTATTTATTTAAATCTTGCCTAATATAGTTTTATTGAATTATTTTATTTTTTTGTTATAAAAATTATTATCTATAAATAATTATTATAAATATATATTAGATTACATTAAATTATTTTTATATTAAAAAAACTTTTTTCTATACACAACTTTTTTTTTTATAGTAATTTTTTTTCAAAATTAAAGAAACAAATAGTTTTTTCACCTTTTAATATTCAAAAGTCCTTCATACCTTCTCTTTCTTTACTACAAGAGCCTCAAGAAAATTAAAAAAATATACAGATATATTGAGATGAAATCTTTGATCAGGAGAAAGCAAATTTGCGGGTCTTGTTTTTTCTTTGAATTGCATAAAAAAAGATCTATGACAGTTACTTCTTTATTAATCTTTCTTGTGATTCTTCCCTATTTTTTTTTTCTAATATACAAATCTTTTTAAATAATTATATTTTCTGTTTGGTAAACTTCTTTTTAATCAAAAAAATCAAACTTCATATTAAAATTGTTTATACTATTAATTTAAGACACCAATAATATATTCAATACTTATTTTTTACTATCGTTTAATATATTCTGCTGCATCATCAAAAACCAAAAATTTTTATTCAAAAAAATTCTTATCAAAAAACCATAATCAATTTATTTTCGTTAACTAATTGACATATCAAATCCAATCAATCAAATATTATCAAATCTTAAAACAATTTCATACAATCAAAACATCATATAATAATCAATATAAACAAATTCCATTTTGATAATATCAATCAAAACAAGATTATACTATCAAAAAATAAACCAATTAACATATTAACAAAAATATTAACAACTATAACAACAATACATAATCTAAGTAATGTATTAACAATACTATTATTTACTTTGGATAGTAGCCTAATTATTTTTGAAAGCAGTATTCTACTTCAGTTGAATGAATCAATCAATATGACATGTCTAATCCAAGACATTCTTTGTATAATAATCAATCTTTTTTTTATTTTTCTCTCAATTATTATTAAATACTTAAACATAAACAATTATATCATCATCACTATTAACAATGACTCAAGAAATAACTATTAAGAGGATGTGTTATTAATACTATTATATACTATAAGCTGTAGCCTAGCCATTTTGAAAAGTACAATAGTACTTTAGGTGAGTGGAATCACCAGAGCTATATTAGGCTTCATTTGTATTATAATTGGTTTTTTTATTATTTTCTTTCATTTAATATTTTTTTTTTTTACTTTTATATTTTTTTAATTTTTATTTCATATAATTCTGAGTAGATATTTATAACTACTTGACAATATTTTAGAAGTATATTGGTTTTAATATTTATTTTTCATGTTGCTTAAATAATTTCTATAAGCAAGTTAGCATTAGACTTATTAGTTTAACAAGTTATATAAGAGATGTTGTCACTTTTTTGATATATAAATTTTAAACAATTTTATAATTAATAAAGAAATAATGGTTACTTACTTTTAAAAAAAAAAAAAATTATTTTTATATTAGCTTAAAAAAATTATTTGACTAATAAAAAAACCATTAAAATGTTTTTTATAATATATAAATTAATTTTATAAAAATTATTTTATTTTTTATTTAATAAAAATAATTTTCAAAAAAATTTATATTTATATTGAAACTTATATTTTGATTGTTTATTTTTATTTTACAAATTAATAAATTAAAATTATTATAAATAATTTATTTATTTTATTTTATTTTATTTTATTTTTATTTTTTTATTGTGAACAAGCATTAAATGTGAAACTTTATTTAAATAAAAAATATTTACTATCATTATATTAACAATCTTTACAAAGTAAATTAATTGTAACCTATCATAACAAATCTATTGGAACCAGGTACCAACAATAGTGCTTTTTATTTTTATTTTATTATTTTATTTTTTTTACAAATTTTTATTAACTTAACATTGAAGTTACAATAATTTATTTATTTATTATAATTTAATTAAATTAATATTTTTTAAAAATTTTTGTCTATTACTCTTTAAATCAATTAACGTGACCAATGATATTACGCGATCAAGTTTTCTATAAACGCGTAAACACGTGCATATGATAATTTTGCGCGTTAATAGCGACTAAACTTAAATCATGAAACATATAGATGACGATTCGCCCAGTAGACGATCTCCAAGACTCGCTGCCAAACAATCAAAAAGGAATTCTTTAGTATGGAACTCATTTTCGCTAAACTTAAAATTTAATGAGCAATGCACTTAATTAAACCTCCAATTCTGCAATTAGGCCCTTCAACCAACTCGAAGTTGCTTGAGAAGGAATGACGATACAACAACAAACTTTGATCTTTTACAAGAAGACAACACAAATCTTATGGGAATCACCTGCGAAAATACGGCAACTTTCACGTTGCGTAATTTTGATGATACTGGAACGCTCGAGTAAATATCTTTATTACTTTTATTGACACATTTTTTTGTAGACTATAAACTTTACCAATTCATCTGTTCAGTGAAAATGGACGGCGTCGAAAATCATTAGGGAGAAGAGTTAGCTTTGCGGCAACAGCTCATGTCCGGTAAGATTGTAAAAAAAAAAATTGGTTTTTTTTGATACTTCACAAATGAAGTTGTGACATGATAATCCTTAAATTCCAGTTTATTCGACAAGGACGAGGCTGCTGATGATGCTCCAGCTGCATCAAAAAAGCCAGATTCTCAAAATGAAAAATCTAAGACGGAATTTATGCTAGCACTTCCAGGCACACCTTCGCCAAATGCCAGCCTTATATCGAATAATGACCCTCTCAAGTATCAATAAGAAACTTTTTCGGATTATTCTTGAAACTTAAAATCACTTTTACTTTTTAATTAATGGATAGTAATCTCTAATAGAAAACAAGCCGACGAGAATAATGCATTACAAGTCGAAGATCTGAAACCTGAGATAAACTGTGTATCAGCACAACAGAAAATAAATTCAGATGAAAAATCAAGCATCCAGGATGAAGAAGTCGATATGACTCTTGCTTCTCTCGCGGATCGGGATATAAGCATTACCTCCAAAGAATCACTTGATCATGAAAATGGATGCACACCAGTTGCCAGTCAAGATGTGACAAATACAGACGAACAAGATATGTCTACTGTCGAAGATATGTCGCTTGATGAATTAGATATGTCACTAGTTGATATAAGCTCTAAAGAACAAAAAAGTTGTACACTTGACTTTCCTATACCTATACAACTAGAGATCAACGAAACACCTGTCGAACACACGACAGATATGCTAATCGATACAGAAAAGGATATGCTAATAGATCAGAATCAAATGCACAGTTTACCAGTTACTGAAATTTTTGACATGTCGATTGTCAGATCTGAGAATGATCATGATTCACCGATAAGAATATCACGCGAGGAAAAAAGTATCACGGAAAAGCAACTCATAGAACTTACTGATATGTCACTGGTTGAAGAAACTCAAATGATGCTTGAAGAAGATATCGAGATGTCTTTAGATGAAGAAGATGCATGCATGTCACTGAGTCAACAATCATGTTCGGTCGAACAAAAATCACCAGAAAAAGTGGTTTCGGATGTCACCTCTGAGGAACTGCGATTCATGAATGAAGCTATTGATGAACAAAATGCTCAAATACAAATCTTTGAAAACGAGTTGGAAAATCTTAAAAATGAGTTACAGCACCTTCAAAATCATTGTACAAAGTTGAAGAGTGAAAAGTCGGAGTTAATTCAGGCAAGCGGTCTACAATGTTCCACGGCCACTAGTTATCGGTCGCATCACCGTTTAATTTTACATGCATTATTTAGAGTGTTGATGAAGCAAAACGTCTCATCCAAGACAACAAATGCTTCACCGAAAATGATCTTAGACGATACCAAGGTTTGTTCGAATAGAATTTCATATGATAATCATCTTTCGCTCTCGGGTGTTTAAGTAATTAAAATTTATTAACTATAGAACAATACGAAAGTCTTCAAGCTACTCACAAATGGAGGCCTCAGGAATTATCCGGTGACCTCATTTACATGATTTATGATAACAGCTTGCAAATTAAGATTGACTTAAAAGCTGCCTACAACCAAAGCGAAGAAAATAAGTCTAGTGTTCTCAATTTGAGCTTAGTTTCAATTAATATGAAAAAGGATGATAAACAATACGTGAGATTTATATACTTTATACTTTATAATTGTATTATGTTTTTATTCCTTGTTTCTAATTCTATTGCCATCTTTTATAATATATTATTAAGTACGAATTGATGTTAAACAGTTTACTTGAAAACAAAAATTTGGTTGAAAGTCCGCTACAAATCAACAAGGTAATTATTAAAAGTACATATTTATCAATATACTTTCCCTATCACTGATTTCTCTTATATTTGATTGCAAAGATACCAAAAATATTTAAATACATTACCTCATATTGGCAAAAAGTTAAACAATTCAATGAGGAAATACATGACATAAAATTTAAATTTCCGATAGAAATTATAGCCAAGAATGATAGTGGATGTGCTCTGCAGATATGTTTAAAAGTATTATTTTTCAATTATGAAGGTCGTTCAAAATTTTTTGTGAACTTTCTTTTACGACCCGAGGCCGTAATGTCATATCCGAATTTGGAAAAAAATATCGATTGGCAAGTGCAAAAGTCATACGGAAACATAAAGTGAGCTTACATTTCAATGATACTTTTCTTTCTATGTAAACTGTGCATTCATTAACTTACTTTTCTGCTTCACTAGCGAGAATGCGATATCTAATGCCATCAAAACACAGCTTCTAAGTGGCAATTCTGGGTGCATCAAGGCGGCTTGTGTTGAAGTCAACAAGAAAGGATTTGCTATATAATCAGTAATTATATAAAAAACAACTTGTTTATATTAATAATTATCGATTCTTAAAATAAAAAAATTTTTTATAGATTATATAAAATTGTATTATATTTGAAATATGATTAATAACAGTCTTTTGTCTTATATATCTAATTATCAATTACTAAAATTTTATTTCATATACATGTACTTTATATGTTAGCTAAAAGATTCAAATATATAATATAACATTGTTTATTATACAGTATGGTGCAAAAAATTTTGAAATATTATTTATATAATATAAACATGTACAACTTTTTCAAAACAAAAGTAATTCACATGAAATTTTAAATATGTAAACAACATATTTCAAACAATATATATAGGTACTTAAAATTATTTGATTATTTTACTTTTGTTATAAACTTATTTTTACAATGTTATCTTTTAAAAAAAATATTTAATAACAAACTATATTATATTTGTAAAATAATGAAATTACTTTTGTATATGAAATATATTTCAAAACTGGCATAAACATGTCAACTATCTATTACAATCTCAAAAAATTGAATTAAAAAGATAATAATTCAAGAAAATTTGATAGTAGTTGTTTTAAAAAGATTATAGCACATGAATCAAAAGCAATTGGTTAATATTTATATTATAATTCAAGATTTTTCTCAAGAACTTTAGCAATTAAATTATCAAATATTAATACCAAAGTATCACATTCAACAATTTTAAGACATTTGGCTAATATAAGTTACAAAAATAATTTACCTTTAAAAATACCTATGCTTATTATTGCTTATAAAGAAGCTTATATTATTTGAACAAAAAAGTATCTTGATAATAACTGGAAAAAAATTTTATTTTCTAATGAAACAGTATTTCAACTATTTAGAAATACAATTATTCAATAGTATAAAGATATAAGACTAGTTAAAAGAATGCCTAAAGATTGTACTAAAATATTTGCATAGAGAGTATTTTGTGCAAAAAGAAAACCTTCTCTTTTTTGTTTTAAAGAAATTATAAATGCAAAATTTTATATCAAAATTTTGCAAAATCATAAATAAGAAATTAATAGACTACTTGGAAACAATTGGTGCTTTCAATAAGATAATAATTTTAAGCATACAAGTAAAATTGCTAAAGTATTTTTAAATAAAAATTTTTTTGAAATTATTGATTGGCATTCTAATAGTTCAAATTTAAATTTTATTAAAAACTTTTGAACTATTACTAAAAGAAATATAGAAATGAAATTACCAAAAAATATTTTAGAATTAGAACAATTTATGATAAAAAAATGAAATAAAATTTAAAATAAGATTTTAAATAATTTTATAGATTTAATAAAAGAGAGATGTGAATTAATAATTGAAAATAATGAAAAAAGAATTAATTATTAATTATATATTAATAAAATCTTTAGATTTTTAGTTTTATTTTGATATGTTTTTTATTAATTTTTATACAGTAGATTTTGAATAATAAATAAATAAAAAGACCTGTGGATCTGTAGTATAGTGGTTAACACTCCACAGGTCAAATCACAAGATACCAGTTACAATCCCATGTAAGAGCGATTGAATAGAATTAATATGGTATCTAGCGCCATAACCTGTTAAGTACTATTTCTCATGTAAAAAGCCATTTTACATGCTAATCCAGCGGGCATTGAGATTGTAATTTCCAGAAAAGGTGATAAGGCGCAACGATCGTCCGGTGGAAGTTATGATGATTGTTGTCAAGTTTGATGCGATTCCCAGTTCCACAATAGGCCGTTTCTCTTTTCCTATAGTCTATGAGACTATAAAAGAAATACATTACAAAGGGCCACAAACAGAAAAATTGGATAGCAAGACTGTAACACAATTTCTCCTTCAGCATGAGTTACGACTCACCAAGCAATATCCACCATTCTTACCTGTAGTGAAGGTACTCAGTTAATAACGTTTGCCAGAATGGAAGATCCCTCTAAGACCTAGCCTGACTTTGGAGGAGTTGTGCCCTCTTAAATAAGCAGCTTATGCTTGAAGCCCAGCATTATCTAAAAAGGGATTGGATCATCAACCACAGGTTTAAAGGTATTGAACCAAATCTTCGCCATAGGTTCCATCCACTTTCCAAGTGATCCTCCTGGCTTAACATCCATGAAGAAAACTGGAAAAGACAAAGACACAATACTCCGATGGATAATCCACTTAGTGTTAAAGATCCTTACTGAAAGGTTTACATCTTGTGGCTAGAAGATGTAAAGAAAATGTTTGGGTGGCAGACTATACCCAGATGGCCAAATGGCCCATAGGTAGATTCTAGGTTATATATAGGTTTAATATAGATTAATGTTGTATATACTTTGTATGTAAGGACCTATCTACGAATAAACCGGCCTAGAGTGTTGTCTCACTTTAGCAGTTTAAAAAAAAATAAATAAATAAATAAAATAAATAAATAAAAAATTCCAAAATTTTTTGCACCATACTGTATATTATAATTAATAAATATATACTTTATTTTTACTAACATATTTTTTTATTAGTCTTGAACCAGATTTTACATTAGTGACTATTTGTCTTAAAGAAAAAAAAAAAAACAAAAAACAATTAATTTTAATACTTTGTGCCAATACTAATGGAACAGATAAAATAAAATTATTTGTTATTCGCAAATATAACAATACATATTGCTTCAAGAATATAAATCTGATATCATATACAAATCAAATTGCAAAGCATTTGATATAAGAATAACTGGTTACATGACAATTCTTTTATTAGATAATACACCAAGTCACATCATTGCTAATTTAAATATTCATAATACAACTATTTATTTTTTGCCTCCAAATATAACCTATGAATACCAGTATTATTATGTTTTTCAAATATTACTATTAAAGTTATTTTGTGAAATAGTTATTTAATTAATATAAATCTGATATTGAAAACAAAAAAATAAATATTTTTACAGCAATACAATTTATTGTTCAGGTATGGATATATAATTATTTTTATCATATAAGAATTTTTCTAATTTATATCATTAATAATGATAATAATAATAATGATAATGAGGATGATAAGTTAGTATAAGAATTGTATACAGATATTGAGACATTTCATTTTCAAAATAAAATAAATATTGAAAAATATATTAATTACTTAGAAGAAAAAAATACAAAAGAAAAATTAAATAACTTATTTATTTATCAAAAATATAAAAAGAAAAATATGGAAATAGAAGATGATGAAGAAGATAATAGTAACAAAATTTAAAAAATTACTTATAAAAATGTATTGAATGCTATAGAATTGTTAGGATAATATTTCATACAACAAAATTTAAATGATATCAATTAAACAGAACATGATATTGTATTATTAAAACCATATAAAGCAATAAGAAAGTTTCAAAATATATCTTTTAAACAAATAAATATCAAATATTATCTAGTCTAATATATATAATAAATATGTAATATAACTTAATAATAAAAAATATTTTTTTTTAATATTATATAATATTAACTAAATAAATTTATAATATTTTTTAATATTTTTTAATATTTTTTTTTAATTCCACAATCAGATTGGTGTCGTTTATTTATTAAATTATAAAGAACCATTACAAGTTGAGAATTCATATAAAGTATAAATTTCTCCAATCCAACTTATCCATTAACAGCTGAAATCTCTAGATATGATTTATGTAATAATATGTTGTTCTTCTAAAGAATGGAATTAAGATCCAGAACTTTTGATAGGATCAAAACCTGCATATTACTTCTACAGTTACAACCATAAATCCAAATTGTGTCACCTTCTTTTGTAGTAATTACGCAAGAAAAAAAATAAATAAAAAATAAATTTTTTGAACAAAAAAAAGAAAAAAAAGCTATTATTTATTCTAACTATCATTGAAAATATTATCTCTGTAAACTTCAAAACCCAAGCCCCTCATGATTTCTCACTTCTCACCACCTGTAATTAGTTAAATTGTTTAATTTTTATTGGAGTAATTGATGTCCAAGAATATTTAGGGGCATTTTCAAAAGAGTATTTCTTAAAACTTTATACTTGAAAACTTCTAACTAGAAAAAATATTGGTTTTCTATTGTTGATTTCTTTCCCAAGTCATGTCTTCTGGAATTATTGCTTCATTCAACCAGTGAATAGTTTTAAAATTTCTTTTTTCAACTATTTTCAGGATAAATATTGATATTTCAACTTGTTATCAAATTGGGATAGGACCTAGATCTTGTTGTTACTTTCTGTCCTCAAGAAAGAATAGGAGAAAAAAAAAAAATAAAAAGATGGGAACAAAAAGATGTTGCTTCTCTTCTACTTACAACTTCAACTTCACCTAATACTTCCATACTACTCCTTCAACTAAAAACCATCCAACTCTTTCAGGAACAATTACATCATCAGTTTGATATTGCGCAACTGGAAATACGTGAGAAGTATATGTTTTGTTTACTTTTTTTGTAACTAACGTGATCAACCAATCTATGGCCTTGATCAATTATCTTTCAGAAAATCTGGTGTGACCAAAAAATTCAGAGTCAAACTGAGGTAGGCAAAATTCTCCAGAAAAACAAAAAAAAAAGGAAACACACTTGAGAAAAAAGAAGTGAAAAATTAAAGAAATGATGGAAAGACTGAAGACTTCGTTATTCTTGTTTCTTTATATTTTTGAATCTTTTGGAAATCTTTGGAGAGTCAGTTTTCTTTCTATAAAGATGTTCTTGCCATAGATCTTTTAGGTAGGTTTCTTGTATTTAGTTGCAAAAATAAACAAGAAAAGTGTTTGAAAAAGAAAAATAAAACAAGTGATAGCTTCTGCTTGCTCAGCTGGTTAAAAACCAGTATTGTTTTATGAAAAGTGTATAGATTTTATTATTATAAAGACAAAAAATCTTTTGAAAACATCTGTTTTTTGGATTGGCAAAAGAATTAACAGAAAGAGTTTTTATAATATTTTTTAATTTTATATTAATTAATTATAATATTATATAAAAAA